GTAAGTGTGCAGCCTGTATAACAGTGTAAGTTTGCTGTTCACTCAAAATAACTCAACACACAAACATTCATGTCTAAACCGTTGGCAACAAAAGTGAGTACACCCCTAAGTGGAAATATCAAAATGGGGCCCAATGAGCCATTTTCCCAAACCCATTGTCATGTGATTCGTTAGTGTTACAAGGTCCCAGGTGTGAATGGGGAGCAGGTGTGTTAAATTTTGTGTTATCACTCTTACACTCTCTTATACTGGTCACTGGAAGTTCAACATGGCACCTCATGGCAAAGAACTCTCTGTGGATCTGTAAAAAAGAATGGGCAAGACCATACAGCGGTTTCACAGGACAGGTTCCACTCAGAACAGGCCTCGCCATGGTCGACCAAAGAAGTTGAGTGCACATGCTCAGCATTATATCCAGAGGTTGTCTTTGGGAAATAGATGTATGAGTGCTGCCAGTATTGCTGCAGAGGTTGAAGGGGTGGGGGGTCAGCCTGTCAGTGCTTAGACCATACACCTCACACTGTATCAAATTGGTCTGCATGGCTGTGGTCCCAGAAGGAAGCCTCTTCTAAGATGATGCACATGAACGCCCGCAAACAGTTTGCTGAAGACAAGCAGACTAAGGACATGGATTACTGGAACCATGTCCTGTGGTCCGATGAGACCAAGATAAACTTATTTGATTTACATGGTGTCAAGGTGTGTAGCAGCAACCAGGTGAGGAGTACAAAGACAAGTGTGTCTTGCCTACAGTCAAGCATGGTGGTGGGAGTGTCATGGTCTGAGAATGCATGAGTGCTGCCGGCACTGGGGAGCTACAGTTAATTGAGGGAACCATGAATGCCAACATGTACTGTGACATTCTGAAGCAAAGCATGATCCCCTCCCTTAGGAGACTGGGCCGCAGTCTCCGAAGGGAGGGGACTCCAGTGGCAACCTGTGAAGCTCTGGTGAACTCCATGCCTATGAGGGTTAAGGCAGTGCTGGAAAATAATGGTGGCCACACAAAATATTGACACTTTGGGCCCAATTTGGACATTTCCACTTAGGGGTGTGCCAACAGTTTAGACATTAATGGCTGTGTGTTGAGTTATTTTGAGGGGACAGCAAATTTACACTGTAATACATGCTGTACACTTACTACTTTACATTGTAGCAGAGTGTAATTTATTCAGTGTTGTCACATGAAAATATTTAATAAAATATTTACAAAACTGTGAGGAGTGTATTCACTTTTGTGAGATACTGTATATACTAATTCTTGTTTCAGGTCAACTATTTGAATATTACTCCACTTCTGGCATTCTGGGATTTGACTCACCTGAACTATATTGACATATTGTTATAGCGTGATTTAGGTTCAGCATATCTTTCAAAAGTTCCAAACTTGCGTTAGCCAATTAGCCACTTTTATTAGACTCTATTAGCTTTCTTAAGTTAATCATTCATAAAAGCTTACTGTCATCAAGAAAATATCTTAGATGTGGAAATTTAGGGTTGGGGCAGTATTATCATATCTAATATCATTTAAGCATTTGTAAGCATGAGTAAACCACTGAAAGTGTCCTGTATGTATCAGTAGAATATTAACAGGGACTATTAGTTGTCATGGAAAAATATTGCTGATAGAATGGGGGTTCTGCCAACTGTGTCAATATAAATTGTTAGATCACTGTGTATTCACGATTCACACCCAGAAGACAATCACTGGCTCTCCACCTGCATACGATTACCTTCTACAGGATTGTTACAAGACACACTGCTCACATTTCTCCATTTGGCCTGTTTTTTGTTTCTCTTGGAAAATGTGTTCTGGTGGATGTGCGAAATGCCTGGGCATTGCCTTAATTCCTCTAGCCATTTTGTGCACAGTGGCTAATATCATGTTATTTTTCCCTGGAGGCAATATTCCTTCAGACAAAGTACAAATTACAGATGAAGTCTGGTATTTTGGTGGAATATTGGGGTCTGGAGTTCTGGTAAGTTCAGTAATTGCTACTAATATTCTTAATAGTACAATATGATTTTAAAATAACGTCTCTAATGTTGCTATGTTTCTTTATTTGCCTGTAAACACAGAAGTAAGCATAACTGTGATACTGATATTCTTTCATATTAGATTTTTGTTTTATTTCTTGGGATCAATTCTTAATAAATAAAAAACAAAAAAATGTATAAATAATGACTATGAATGTGTAAGACAAAATAAAACCACAGAGATTTTAGATTTGTGCACTAATTTTAGAGACTTTAGGTTTGGCCAAAACCAGAAATAGTTTAGGCCATCCATAGTTTGGCCATATATCTGTTTGGTTCAGCAGAATTTTGGTACCAAAAACCCAATTCGGGACCCAAGTCAGACAAACCAATCAATGTACTGCAAAATATAAATGTTTTATTATAGGTATTTATATGGGGCCAGCTCATTCCACAGCGCTTTATATACATAATAAAATTTGTATATCATTTGCAGAAAGCTGATAGGAGCACTTTTTCACCATTTGGTTTACAGATTAAGTATGAAATAGTAACCAATGGAGAGAAAAGCAGCAGGAACCGTAAAAGCAAGTCTATATTTATTGATGTATGCATTATATATTTATTAAATATATAATATATACATATATCATTTTTAACAGGTCATTTTCCTCTATTGATCACTACTCACTTGATCTGGGAATATAGTCAACATTTAATGACTGTCCCCAAGCCATCAATCATGTTTTTTTTTCCATTAATCAAAACAAAAAAGTTTTTCATTTCTCCTCTTCTCTGTATGCTCTCTCTATGCTGACTGCCAGGTGTAAAGAACAGAGTTTATAACAATGATTATCAAGGAGCTAGGTTGGAGGTAACCAGTTGCAAGATAAAGTGTGGATTTCTTCATTTAATTTTGTTTTGCACACTTCTCAAATACATATTTGTTAAATATAGGAATAAGTAAACATCATTTTATTCACGGAAAGTTACAGTTCACGTTTAAATTGTCACTCCCGCGTTTTGCGGATGTCCTGATTAACCCATCATAGCCTGTAATAAATGGTGCTGTTAAGTTTATCTCCTTTTTCTACCACTCTCCTCACTCTTTGCGTCTTTGTCGGCCTTTTAATTTTTGTAGCACTAACTGATAATTTTTTATAAATCAATAGTCGTCATTTATGTGTGTGCAATGCAAGGAAAATTACAACAGCCAAGATAAAAGTAAAGCTGGAAGACAAACAATAATCAATAAATGTTATTTATTAATAAAAAATGCTGCTTTACACATCTAAGAATCTACACCTTTAAGTCTCACATCCAGTATGTTGCCAAATCGTGTAGATTCGACCTTAAAAACATAGCCCGCATCGGCCCCTTCCTTACGCAAGATGCTACAAAGGAGCTTGTCCATGCTCTAGTAATTTTCCACATGGATTATTGTAAACCTCTCCTGATTGGTCTTCCCAAAAGCCTTTCCTCTCTAGTCGGTTCTCTCACACCTCACCCGTCTGTCAGTCCTTACATTGGCTTTCCTGTGTCCTAAAGGAGTCAATTCAAGGTATTAATTTACACCTATAAAGCACTTAACAATTCTCACCCCTTTTATATCTCCTCACAGATTCATAGGTATGTCCCTTCTCGGCCCATGACGTTATCCTGTCCGTTGTTCGCACCCGTACGGCCAACTCACGCTTGCAGGACTTCTAGCAGGCGGCCCCTTCCTATGGAATAGCCTGCCTACCGCCATCAGACTCTCCCCTAGTCTTCACTCGTTTAAGAAGTGCCTTAAAACCCATCTCTTTAGGAAAGCTTATGGCCTCCCAGAATAACCTCTACCTAACATACCTGTCGCTTGCTCGCTCCTAAAGGGCAGCACTCTACTCTCCCCTCCATCTTTGCTTCACTCCCACCTTATTTGATCACTATTTCCTGTCCTATTGTGTTTTACACCCCACGTCCTATAAAATGTAAGAAAGATCTACATTCTAAAGATTTAAAAGAAAGCATGAGTCATCAGACTAGGAAACCTTCTTCTATTACTCCATGGTCCATGTCTGACACTCATGTCCTCATTAAGGACGCTTTTGACAGTAGACAGGGGTCATCATGGGCACTCTGATCAGTCTGCGGCTACGCTGCTAAGCAAACTGCGATGCACTATGTATTCAGAACCTTTTTATCCTGGCCAGCATTACGTTTTTCAGCAATTTGAGCTACAGTAGCTCTTCTGTGTGATCAGACCAGATGGCCTAAGCTTTGCTCCCCACTGCATCAATGAGCCTTGGGTGCCCATGATCCTGATGCCGGTTTACCAGTTGTCCATCCCTGCACCACTTTTGATAAGTAATAACCACTGGATACTGGGAACACCCCTTACGTACTGTTTTGGAGATGCTCTGACCCAATCATCTAGACATCACTATTTGGCCCTTGTCAAACATAACAATCTAGTAGTGCTGAAAAATATCTTTATACTCACTTCCAATAGTGTACTCTTTTGTGTAAGAGAAAACAGTTTATAAATAAAATTCCACAAATTCAAAGGTTTAATGCCCAAGGACATTAAAGTTGTTTAATACTACTTCTATTCTGTGAGTGCTATTTGTGGGGAAAAGGACAAACATGCTAATACATTTTTCTGCTGTTAAGAAGTTTACACTATATGCTTTATTTTTATTTTTTGAATGCCAATGCTCACACTTTCATTAAAGATGAAGATTTTATATTTACAAAAGTTCAACATTATATACTATTATGAATGGGTGTCAATATTTGTGAGATTTCCTCTTTGCACTATTAAATATAAAAGGTTATGTCACTGACCAACAAATGTCTGAATTTCTTCAATCGGCTGAAATAATTGAGGTATATAATAATTAAGAGAATTATTATAAACATTACAACATTACAACATTATATTTGAAGTCTATACGATCATTTACTATAAATCCTATATGTATAAAATGTAGCAAATAAATATTAGACAGTCGTCATGGTAATTCTTTTCATATTTTTTACAGATGATTTTTCCAGCACTTGTATTTCTTGGTCTAAAAAATAATGACTGCTGTGGCTGCTGTGGCAATGAGAGTTGTGGGAAGAGATTTGCAGTAAGTATTAGATGTAATATGGAATAATCTAAAATGATTTCTTTCAATATTGGTTAACATGTATCAGTGTATGGCAGCCCGCAAAACGTATAATAAAGATAACATATGTTATAGGGACACTATAGGCACCCAGGCCACTTAAAGGACCACTATAGTGCCAGGAAAACATACTTGCCGGGCTGTAGGGGGTGGAAGGGGTTAAACTTACCTCTTTCTCCAGAGCCGGGCGGGGGACTCTTCTCCTCCTCGACTGAATGCGCATGCGAGGCAAGAGCCACGCGCGCATTCAGCCAGTCCATAGGAAAGCATTCACAATGCTTTCCTATGGACGCGGGTGTCTTCTCACTGTGAGAATCACAGTGAGAAGCGTGGAAGCGTCTCTAGCGGCTGTCAATGAGACAGCCACTAGAGGCTGGATTAACCCTAATATAAACATAGCAGTTTCTCTGAAACTGCTATGTTTATAGAAAAAAGGGTTAAACCTAGCTGGACCTGGCACCCAGACCACTTCATTAAGCTGAAGTGATCTGGGTGCCTATAGTGGTCCTTTAATCTCATTGAGGTAGCCTGGGTGGAGTGTATCGGATCCCTTAACCCTCAACATAAAACATTGCTGTTTTTGAGTGTTAAGACTGCCTCCAGTGGCTGTATGACTAGAACTACTAGATACCTTGTGTTCAGCTATTTCAGGGGGAGAAAGAGGCAGATGGGGAAGAGAAAGAATGGGAATGAGAGGGGAGACATTGACACAGAGGAGCAGTGAGGGGGAGAAAGAAACATACAGAGTGACTGGGGGGAGACAAAAAAGGCACACAGAGGGGCTGGAGATAAAAAGAGACACACATAGGGGCTGTATATATCACTGGTGGATGGGGGGGCAACGGGGCAATTCCCCCCCCCCACGAGGCTTTCCCCTGCCGGCTGATCTCCCTCCCCGTTCCACAGGCACTGTGCGGGCAGCCGGCAGGGGAGGGAGGAAGAGAGGACCCAGGAGCTCAACCTGCAGCTCCCCTGGGACCTTCTCGCGCGAGCACAGAGTGTTGCCGCAGTTACCACGGCAACGCTCCAGCACTCATGAGGGAGGGAGGGCGCTCCCCTGGAGCTAGAGTTAACTCTCACCACTGCGACTACCAGGGATTCCATACACACAATGCCCCCACACACACACCATACACATTCACACACTGCCCACCCATATACACATTGCCCCACACACACTACACATCCACACACTGAACCTTTCACACACATTGCACCACTGCTCCTATACCATACTACAGCCCCATATCTCAGCAGACCCCAGGTAAGTTGTCAAACTGTTCTTAAACGGTTTGACTACTTACTCTGGGAGGGGGTCCCGGCACTCCTGGCATCATAACCACTACACAGAGCAGTAGTGGTTATTGTGCATGGAATATTTCTTTAAATAATCTACAAGTGCCCCTCCCGGGATCTGGCTCTGGATCAGCCACTGGTATATGACATGTATATTAATGTGTGCATTAGTTATATATATATATAATGCCTATTATATTTACACATATTAATGTACATTTATAAATGCATAATACACAGAGAAATGTCATTAATATGTACCATATGTAATGAGCAGATATTGGCCCAGTCTTGTTGCTAGGTGCATACACCAGCACAATAACATATTTAAAGTGAAGAGCACACCACAGGACTTCAAAATAATTTTTTTTTACAGTTATGCCCCACATATATTCACCATTTCAGTCCCATTTAAAATAAATCTGCACTTTTGTTTATTTTGAAGCCTATGAGTATTTTTATTTACGTTGGAGTAATAATTTTTAATTTTATGTTATCTGTTCTAACTCTGTATCTGCACACTATGCTGGCGCGATGCATTATGGGGCTGGTAAATATTTTTTCCCAGGGCTGCTTTTAATTCCCAGTCCGGCCCTGTAGAGGAGTTATGCAAGTAAATCCAATATTAAATAGTTATTTTTGCACTATTTTGAACAATTAAAGAAATTTTTTGAAAAAAAATGATATATATATTCCTTTCTCTTCCTGCGAATGGGCTGCCTCTTTGAGCAGAATTGCTTGCTTTGTAAAATAGTGATTCAGGTAGAGCGCAGTAGCTAAGATAGTTTTAATCGGTATGGGCTGTTCATTAACGTAAGCAATGAAATTCAAAGCAAATTCATAATGAATTTCAAATGGTATCTGAACTACAAGCATGGACATTTTTTCCACTTTAACTATTTTTACCTTAAATTTGAAATTCACATTGTATTCACTTTGAGTTTCAAACAATTCTCACTCTAGTGAATAAACATGATAGTCTCATGGGAGTCACAAACTCGGGAATCGTACGGTTGCTCGTGGGGGCACTATGTCCTCCCACTTTATTTAACAGGTCCTATCCCTGTCTGATGAGGCCTTTCTAGTAACAACGCCCTATTTAGTATAACCCCATTAGACCCAACTCAAAGATGTTTCTGCATACATGTTACCCAGCACGTATTCTAGATTTGGGATAACATAATATAGTGCTTAATATAATCTAATGTATTTATGTTTTCTTTTCAGATGTTTTCATCTATTCTATTTGCTGCCATTGGATTTGCAGGAGCTGCTTACTGCTTTGTTATTTCAGCAGTTGCTATTCATAAGGGACCTAAGTGTCCCACAATTCTAGGATGGGTTTATATATTTCAGGATGGGTAAGTGGCTGTTATTTTTATAGGGGTGAAGACAATTCCTTTTAAATTAATCTCCCTCTCGAAGCTGCCATTGTGCCTAGATTGCCTCACACTCCAATTCTGTATAAGAGCAATATCAGAATATAGAGAAACAATATATGATATTTGTGTCTAATTCCACATGCTTGACTTGACTGGCAAGTCAATTATTTACATAATTTCCCAGAATCCATAGAGGTAGAGCAATATGTGGCAATAATGGGGACATCAAAATATACGGCCATGTAGAGTCAAGCATTTACACCGATTTTATTTTTCCAAAAGATCTTACCTGGAGAACCACAACCTATGGAATTTATGCCAACCTACTTCTATCGTCCCATGGCACCTGACCCTCTTCTGCTTGCTCCTGATAATGAGTGGAGTTCAAGCTGTGCTCTGTGCTATCCAGGCCATTAATGGGCTCATCGGAACAATCTGTGGAGACTGCAAGTGCTGTGGGTGTTGTGGGGTAAGTTACAATGGTAGTAAATGATCTAAACAATAGCCACTGAACATCAATTAAGGCATAATAAAGCTTCCTTTTTACAATAGACATATAACATTCACTACTGACTATCATTAAAAGCAGGCTCCAAGCACCAAAGCTGTTTATAACTGTATCACAGTTATCCCCTTAAGGACACATGACATGTGTGACATGTCATGATTCCCTTTTATTCCAGAAGTTTGGTCCTTAAGGGGTTATTTATATCAGCTCCCACATTTGTTTATAACTGTATCCATTAGTAAAATACTTTGCACGTATTAGACAGCCACCTCAACGACTGATGTCACAAAGAAAGACTATAATGAGAACATACCTTGTTTGTTAAAGTACTTATCTATGCTGTTTGAATTTATTATTTTTACATTCATTAAAATAGGTATCAGTTGTGTCATGGAATTTTCACTTATAATATTGAAACAAATGTAATGTTATTAGGATCTAAAATGTATTTGTCCATATCATCAGTACACATTCAATAACTGCCCGTTTATGCACACAGGGTAATGGAACTGTTTAACCCTAGCCTGAGAAGAAAGAAGATCATACTAGAATCATTTGTTCATGTCTGGACTAGAGTATCTTTAACAACCATGAAATTAATTTGTGGTGAAGCTCAAAGATGAAGACCTTTTATAGAGCACCACAAATACAATTACATCTTCCAGTCTTCGTTTGGAGTTGATTAAACAAAATTGTAAAATGATTATGAATACACACAGACTTCATAACTATAACATCTTAAAAATATAATATTTTAAGCAATGCTGCTTTGAGAATGGAACATTATATTTATTTTTTTGTGTTTTTAAAGTGATGGAAAATGATAGTTGTTTACACACTAAATGACAAGCTATGTGGATTTGAGGACTTCCAGTTTGCGAAATGTAGAAAAAAAATAAGCTAGCTGAAAAACATCTAAAATTAAAATTCTATTTCAGTCTAAATTTTGCGAGTCAGAAATTGTTACCAAGATATTTTATAACTACACCCCAAAGGTGCAACCATTGTTCACTTGGTGTCTAGCCACATTGTGCATCCTAGTTCTTTAATTGCACAACTTTTGCAATTCCTGCTTGCTAAGTACAAAAAAATCAAGTAAAAAGGCGCTGTAAAATTAATACTATTAAAAAACTAATTAGCCCCTATTAAATATCACAAAAAGCAAGCAGGCACTAATAAAAGTGAAAATAGCCCAACAAACACTAGATACAATATAAAAGAAAAAAGTGTGCTATGCCTTTAAGTGCTATATATACAATAGTGTACTTCCTATGGGTATATACAAACACAGTAGAAACAAAATTGCAGTAAAAAGTACAATGCAATACAATGATTTAAGTGCTGTAATAGTGCAGATTTATATAGAATGTTTGTACACACTGTACGGGAATTTTGTGCACTTTGTGAATATAATATTATGAAAAGAGCACTTACTCCTTGTTGTATAATCCTTCTCTCACCATCAATACTTCCAATCCTTTTGAGAGAAATCCACTCTGCGTTGTGTATTAATAGTGAATGTAATATCCCTGTGTCACCTCTTCCAAGAACTAACATATATCTTTATCCCCTTGTCCAGATAAATATATGACTAGCACTACTAAGGTATTCTACTCGATATTACAAATAAACAGCCAACACCATAGTTCTTACCAGAGAGAAATCTTTACTTAGAATCTGCCCAATTAAATATTACAGAAGAAGAATGTTACAGAGTTATAGTATTACAGTTACAATACACTCATACATTCCATCTATCTAATATCCACTGTATTGTGTATGTGCTGTGAGATGTTATGTGCAGCATGTGCCTTACCAAAACCTAATCTAATGTGATGTCAGTATCTTCTATTTTTAAAGGAATTGGTTCCCATGTTGTAAATAGCAAATTCCTCAGCTCAATTGATATGTAAATGTGATTTACTTTCCCAAGGCCCAAAGTGTTGTCTACCCTGTTATTTTATTTAAGTGTTAACTCTCCCAGCCATCCCTTTGCCTCTAACCTAAGGTGTGTTTTCCTAGATAGGAACTCCTTTGAAGACCAGTTGATATGTAAATGTGATTGGTGCCTTTCAGGTGCTGTATCTTTCCAACTATCTAAACAGAAACTCCCTTTGAAGATAATTCCTGACCTCCCATACACACAGACTCAATCAAGCACATATTAAACAGATATATACATAATATTTTCCCCAACACTCCTCAATGAGTAGAATAGAGAATTTGAGGTAATATGTATTTTCTGCTATAGTATATATCGCTCCAAACATAGATAGGAAAAAAAGAAGAAACAAGAGAAAAAAATATATAGTGTAAATCTGTGTGGTGATTATAATAAATAGAATAAAAAATGACAACTCACAATGGTAGAGCAGTATAAAGTCTGTTCCAACTTTAGGTGCTTTCATGTCCTGTATGGAGAACTCTAACAGAACAGCAGAGTGATGTGCTTGGATATAGCAAGCAGGATGGCAACTTTGCTAAAATAAATCTTTATTGATACAAAGTTAAAGAAACCTTTTCCCTGGAACGCTGATCTGTAGTTCTCTTTCCTCCTTCTGATTCGCGGCTAGAACTTGAAGTCTGTAGGTGGTTGGGCACTTCCGGGAATAGAAGATACTTGTGGCACTACTAACGTTGTGCGTCTGGTTGCGTGATGACGCATTTCGCCTGGGCGTCTTCCTCAGATTACGTCTAGTTGTTGCCGTTCGTCTGAATATATACCCGCCTCCATAGGCGTGGTAACTTCACAAATCCCTGATAATTGGTCCTGACACAAGCTTGTAAACAAGTCAATGGGCTGAGAGGTATATCGCCTAAATGTCTCTTTCATGAAAAATTGTCTACTTGATTAACCTTTTGTGTCCATTGTATTTAAAAGTTCTTATGCATATATTAAAAACAAAATGAAAAACACATTGTACAAATCAGTTGGTGATTATCCTCGATATAAACATATTTTAAACCTCTGTATACACATCTGCAATGAATAGATTAATGAGAGGGTCTAGACAAAGTTAAAAAATATTATCCTACTATGTGGGAAAGAGAAAAAGTAAAACATAAAAATTTCTTATATCATATTATACCAAATAAATCTGAAATATATCATAAAGGCACACACTATAAAATATTGTACATAAATAAATGGGAGTATATAAAAAATATATGGAAGTACATAAAAAATAGTATTTTGATATTAATATACATATATATTTAAATAAAAATACATTTAGAATGACGTTATAAATACGTATCCCCTTAATGACCGCGGACGCACTAGGTACATCCGACAAAAAACGGTCGTTAAGGACCAGGGCAAATAGGAGCCCTGGACTTACCTGGACAGGCGATCCGCAATGATCACAGTTGGGGGGACTGCCAGAGACCCCAGCAGTCCCCCTGCAGCAGCTCCGGCCACCCCGGCCCTCCAGGGCCATGGGATCACCATGATCACCGCCGCAATAGGAGTCTATGGAGATGCCAGCAGGGGGACTCTCTGAACTGTCAGGCAGTCCCCCAGGCTGCTTAAAAGTAAGAAAAAAAATATTAATAAATATATTATACATCTATTATATATGTATAATATATTGTAAAATAACAAAAGCATTTTATAATATATTATACATATATAATGCATATTTATGATTTCGTTATAAGTGTACTTTGAAATATATACACATATATCTCAAAATACACTTATAATGAAATCATATATATGAATTATATAGGTATAATATATTATAAAATACTTTAAATAAAAGTGTGTGTATATAAATATATATGTATATATATATATATACATATATATATATATACACACACACACATACACACACAAGTATTATATACACACATATATGTATACATACACACGTATTATATGTATTATATTATGTATATTATTTATTTATATAATATACATTTAAAAAACCCTATTTTATTTATTTTTATATTTATATATAAATATATATATATATATATATATAAATATATACACACACACACACATACACACACACATACATTCTACATATATATTTAATGATTAACTACATAATTATTTTAGTTTATTAATTATAATTTGAGGGACCTGCCTGACAAACCAGACAAACAGTCCAGAGAATTTAATTGGCAAGCGCTATATTTAACCCCGTAACTTTCCAAAACAACATAAAACCTCTACATGGGTGGATATTGTTATACTCAGAAGACTTCACTGAACACAAATATGAGTGTTTTAAAAAGTAAAACTTACCACAACGATGATATCACCAGTAGAGTTGAGTGGACACCTGGATGTTCGGTTCCGGCAGGTTCGGGCTCGAACTTGACCCCGAACCCGAACCCCATTGAAGTCAATGGGGACCCGAACTTTTGGCCACAAAAATGCCTCTAAAAAAGTCCTGGAAAGGGCTAGAGAGCTGCAAAAGGAAGTAAAATGGGGGTAAAAGTAGGACAAGTGCCCTGCAAACAAATGTGGATAGGGAAATCACGTAAAATAACATAACAATTAAAAATACAGCTGAGACATAAAATAGCACTAGATGGAATATTTGATTTTAGCTTTGGAAGAACATAAATCAAAATCTAAAGCATGGCTGTCTGGATGATCAACAGAATTATCCATTTGAGAGAGGGTTGGAGTGCAGGGTATTCTCTTTCATTGTTCAAACTGAGCTCAACTCCTGATGCATGGAGAAAAGGCCTTCACAAGCCTCTGCTATTGTGTACATAGTTTACACAAAGTGACCCATAGGTTGAGGAGGCGGTGACAGTGGCGATGTAGGTGGAAGCGGTGGTGGAGGAGGAGGATGAGGAGGAGGTAGCCAACACTGTTTATATATATATCTATTTTATATTTTAATTGTGGTAGCCCACAAAACATTGGGATATACAAAAAAATAAACATTTGCGGCCTGCGGTGCATTTCTTGCAGTCCTGAGCATGGAGAAATGCTCAACTCCTGATGCAAATGTACTATTTAGCAGATTAGCAGCAAAACAATTAGAATGTTTACAACTGTGCTGTAAGCACACAATTAGATGCTTCGATTTGACTCTCAGATATGAAGAGCGGAACACATTTAGGTGTATTCTTTGACAGTAATACATAACAGGAGCTGAGAATCCATGCCTAAAGTAGAATGTGTAAGAAAAATGACACAAATTACTGCCCAAACGTTTGCCAAAGACTGGTGGTAAAATTAGTGCATGGAAAGTGTTAAAATACCACCATTTGAAATACCCTACGGTGTCTACTTTTCAAAAATATATGGTTTGATGGAGGTAAATTACACTGGCCAGGTACAAAAATGTCCCAAATAGGACATAAGTGCATGAGGACCAACTGTGAAAATTCCAATGTGCATGGAAAGTTTTAAAATACCACCATTTGAAATTTGTTTTTTGGCGGTTGTAGATGCGTAATAGATTTTCGGGGTCAAAGTTAGAAAAAGTGTTTTTTTTTTTTTTTTTAATTTCACCATAGTTTATATATTTTTTTTTATAGTAAATTATATGACATGATGAAAATAATGGTATCTTTAGAAAGACCATTTAATGGCGAGAAAGAAGGTATATAATATGGGTGGGTACAGTAAATGAGTAAGAGAAAAATTACAACTAAACATAAGCACTGCAGAAATGTAAAAACAGCCCTGGTCCCAAACGGTGAGAAAATTGAAAAGCGATCTAGCCACTAAGGGGTTAAGTTATAAAGTTAATCATTCATAAAAACTTACGGTCATTAAAAAATTAGTGGGGCACTTTTATCATATTTACATTTGTTAAGCATCTTGTAAGCATAAGTAAACCCCTGAGAGTGTCCTGTATATATCAGTAGAATATTAACAGGGACTATTAGTTGTCATGGAAAACTATTGCTGATCGAATGGGGGTCCTGCTAACTGTTGCAATATAAATTGTTAGATCACTGTGTATTCATGATTCACACTCAGAAGACAATCACTGGCTCTCCATCTGGATGCGATTACCTCCTACAGGATTGGGACAAGACACACTGCTCACATTTCTCCATTTGGCCTGTTTTTTGTTTCTCTTGGAAAATGTGTTCTGGGGGATGTGCGAAATGCCTGGGCATTGTCCTAATTCCTCTAGCCATTCTGTGCACAGTGGCTAATATCATGTTATTTTTCCCCGGAGGCAATATTCCTTCAGACAAAGTACAAATTATAGATGAAGTCTGGTATTTTGGTGGAATATTGGGGTCTGGAGTTCTGGTAAGTGCAGTAATTGCTACTTGTTCCCAATAGCACAATATGATTTTAAAATAACGTCTCTAATGTTGCTATGTTTCTTTATTTGCCTGTAAACACACAAGTAAGCATAACTGTGATATTGATATTCTTTCATAATTCATTTTTGTTTTACTTATTTAGATTAATCCTTAAATAAAATTAATATATATATATATATATAAATAAGTTTGTGATAATACTGACTATGAATGTCTAAGACAAAATAAAACCACACAAATTTTGGATTTGTGCACGGTGGAAAAATATGGCTCATCCAAACCATTTTTACCGAAAAACAGAAAATGTTTTAGGCCACCCGTAGTTCTTCCTTATGTTGGTTTGGTTCAGCAGAATTTCAGTAGCAAAAACCCTACTCAGTAACCAAATCAGACAAAAGTGTGAAAAATGGGTAAATCAATGTAATTTAGCAGTAAGCCATTTGGATCAAGTGTAAAAAAGCAACCAATAGCAGAAAAAAGTAGCAGGAACAGTAAAAGCCAATCTATATTTATTTATTTATGCATTATATATATATTGCTCTCTTCTCACTTGATATGTAAATAAAATCAACATTAAATGACTGTCCCCTAGCCATAATTAATTTTTAGGCACATAAATCATCTCTTTTTTTTTTTGGCACAACAGGCATAATTCAGATTCACGAACGTGCTAGGCCATTACACAGTCCAGTTTGTTCATGATATGGGTAATAGAGACCCAGTACTGCATGAACATTGATAGAATCCAAATCCTAACCCTAACTTTAACACTATAATAATTGCATCTCTTGTTCTGGAGGCACACATTGTCAGGTCTTGTGATGTATGGATGTCTCCAAAATCCACATGGTATTGTTTCTCAATAACTTTACTTATCAAAACTGAATAATCTGAGTTTAATTTGAACTGTGCCCTCTGATGTGGTTTGCCATTACAGTGGGACCGCAGTTTACAAATTTAATGCGTTCTCCTGCTGGTTTTCTTTTGAGAAAAAATTGTAAACCGAAACGCGGTTTCCCATAGGAATGCATTAAAAACCAATTAATCCGTTCAGGAGGTCAGAAAAAAGTCAAAATAAGCTGGCATGGAAACCAACCCACAATGCAAAACACAATAAAAGACATGCAAATGACGAAGCTCAGCTCCCTACCTTTCCACAGCTTGAGAAATGCACCAAAAAGTCCCAAAACAACTGAAAACATCTTCCAGAATGGCTCCAAAACTCGATGCAAAAGCTGCTCCAACACCTCCACACTCGACGCCACGTGCTACCCAGAGGCTCCAGTATGCAGGGGGCGGTGCTATAAACCTCCCAGGTGCAATGCATCCTGGGGAAACTTGCTTTGTATTGAGAAAAATTTTGTAAACCGAGGCATTATTTTCAATGGATTTTCACTTGTAAACCGAAAATTATGTTAACCGAGTCGTTTTTAAACCGAGGTCCCACTGTATTTCTATCAAACATTAAAAACCACCTTTAACTTGCTTAATTTTTTTTTTTTTTTGTAAGATTATATTAACTATTTAATAACTGAATTATAAACCAATTCAGACATGGTAAAGTCAAGGCAAACAGTACAAATGACAAGGAAAAAATGAAAATATTTCTCCTCTTCTCTGTATGCTATTTCTATGCTGACTGACAGGTGCATAGAATAGAGTTTCTAACAATGATTATCAAGGAGCTAGGTTGGAGGTAATCAGTTGCAAGATAAAGAAGTGGGGATTTCTTCATTTAATTTTGTTTTGCACACTTCTCAAATACATATTTGTAAATATAGAATAAGTAAACATCATTTTATTCAAAGAAAGTTACAGTTCCCTTTAAATTGACTCTGCAAGAATACATACTTGTGCATTTAACCCCTTAAGGACAAATGACATGTGTGACGTCATGATTCCCCTTTATTCCAGAAGTTTGGTCCTTAAGGGGTTAAATCTATTTTACACAACAAAGTATTGTAAAATATATATTTTGTATTTTTTTTAAATAATATTTGTCTATAGTTTTAGTTCATGTTCATGTCGAGAGTCACCCTTCATAGCCTGTAATAAATGGTGCAGTCAAGTTTATCTCCTTTACTTACCACTCTCCTCATTCTCTACCCCTTTGTCAGCCATTTTATTTTGTAGCACCAATTGATACATTTTATAAGACAGTAGGCGAAATATCTGTGTGTGAAATTCAAGGGAAATCAGAACAGCAAATCTAAAAGTAAAGCTGGAACACGAGAATCAATAAATGTTATTTAATAATAAAAAAAAATTCTGTTTAGACATCTAAGAATCTACACTGGTCTGCCACAACATTAAAACCACCTGACAATATCATGTAGGTCACCCTTGTGCTGCCAAAACAGCTCGATGCATTGTGGTAACTGATAACAAGACCTTAGCAGCAGATTCTTTAAGTCCTGCAAGTTGTGAGGTGAGGCCTCCAGGAATCATTTGTGGATCTAGCACATCTCACAATTGCTCAATCATATTGAAATTTGGGGAATTTGGAGGCCAAGGAAACACCTTGAACTCTTTGCCATGTTCTTCAAACCATTTCTCAATAATTTTTGCTTTGTGGGAGGGTGTTTTACCTGATGTGTTATGGTGTTTTACAAAATAATATCAGACATCCCACCATGCAAAACCTCATTTCAGGGAGGTGGTTTCTCCAGCTATTGTGTTGCTTCTCCCCATCCCACCCCAAGACACCAAACATGTATGAACACAAGGACATGACATTTTATTATGACAGAACAAAACTATTTAACAACATACTGCAACTAAGTTTTAAAAATGTTTTACATTTTTTAATTTTTCAGACGTGTACCTGGCTTATATATTTTAACTGGTACTTCTTGTTTCCTAGTTCTCATCTCTTTATTTAATATGCTCCATTCTTTATTTCTTAGATTTGTGAGTAAGAGAGGTAAAGGAAACAGAGGGGATACATAATTGAACTCTAATCCTTCCCACCCCTATCCCCCCCACCCTAATTTTGCTTCCTGTTGTAGGTTCTTGTTTCTAAACCTTTCCTTCCTGCCTATCCTTGGAGAGAGAGAGAGCACACTTTACATCTGATGTAGTTAGATTTACCGTTCTTTTTGTCTGCCTGTTTTATAGAATCTTCTAATTTTAAGGATGCCGGAGAAACTTTTGCACCATTGTGATAGTTGTTAAATTATAGCTTCCAATTTGTTCATCATGTGCAAACTTCTATTTGAGTGTATCTATTTCCAAGGTTTGCCAATATACCCCTCTCCATTTTTCCTTGGCATATGACTTGTGCTATTAATTCTTGCGTGTATGGGATTCTCCCTGTTTTCCAATAACGTGCTATGAGAAGTTTAGCTGCCGTAATGATATGTAATGTTATCATTTGTACTTTTTTTGACATTTTGGGCCAATTTAGGTTTAACAAGACCACTTAGGCTTGAATTCTAATTTCATTTCTGTTATTTGATATATTACTTTCATTACATCCTTCCAATATTGACTTATGGGTGCGCATTGCCACCAACTGTGAATCAAATTACCTTCACTGACATTGCATTTCCAACACCTATCTGATGCATCTTGGAAAATTGTATTTAAACGTTTTGGTGTTAAATACCATCTATTAGAAAGTTTGAATTGTGTTTCCATGAGGTTTTGGCAATGTATATGTTTGTATAGTTTATTTAGGGCGCTTATCCACTCTTCTTCTTCTATTGGTACTTGTATTTCTTTTTCCCATTTATTAATCAGACCTATTGGTTTATTGTGTCTCCCTCCATATATATATATCTTTGGCACACTTTGCCAATAGGTTTTTTATAATTCTTTAGTTCAAGAAGGTGTCTGAGTTCTATATTTTTCTCCTCCTTATTTTTAAGTAGATATTCTGCAATAAAGCCTTTGATTCTCAGATAGTTAAAAGTTTCTTTCATGGAAATGTTGAATTCCTCCATAATTTGATTGAAGGGCTTAATTTTAATCGCCACTAATTCCCTAATCCCCCCCGGTCTTCCAGGTATCTATTTTTATATTTTCCGGCATATCTGAAATAGTGATGTCGCGAACCATGCCTTCAACATGGATGCTGTCCAGGAGGTGGGAGGGTCTGGGAGGGAGGGTCTGCTGGAGATTGGCCGGGATGTGTCAACTGACTGGAGTTCGCCGTGAACGGTTCGTGGCGAACCGTGGCAAGCCGTTCACGGAAAGTTCGTGAACGGTACGCGACATCACTAATCTGAAATGGTAGAAAATGGAAGCACCTCTATTATTTTATTTCTAAGTCCTATATTAATTGTGAGTTTACCCCACCAACTCGTTAATTATTTGAGTAACTCTGATTTGCGCCGTGCCTCTTCAATAGATTTTTTATTTAAGTCTAAAACCCAAAATAGTGATGATAAATTGTCTACCCCAGTTTTCAAGTTTCTGGGAACCCCAATCCTCCGTCTTGCCTTGACCTAGCCAGGTTTTTCATTTTAACCCTTGCTTTTTTACCACCCCATACAAATTTAAAAAATGGTGAGTGTAGTAGAGATAGCCAGTTTTCTGGGAAGTTGAGAGGGATCATTCTCCATTCTCTAAATTCTCTGGACTTTTGCCCTGGGTTGTCAGGCTGGTCCCCCAAATTGCAATCAATAAAATTACTGAATTATGTAAAAATTGCATAAATATACACATAGAATTTAAATATATATACATATTTATATATTTTTAAGTCTATGTGTATATTTATGAAATTATTTATGTAATTATGTATTTGGACATATGTATATTTCGTATTATTTTTATTTATTTATATATACATAGATATATATAATTTCATTCTAAGTGTATTTTGATATAAATATATATATATATATATATTTTTATTATTTTTACTTTCTTTTATTTTTAATTAATTATTTTTTTTAAAATTAATATATCTATATATATACAATATATACAATATATAGTTATTATATATATACGTGTGTAATTTTACTCTAAGTGTATTTTTATATTAATATATGTATATGTTAATATAAAAACACACTTAGTATGATGTTATATATAAGATATACATATATATATTAAATATAGATATAATATATATGTATATATATATATCTTATATATACATATATATAGATTTTTTTTTAATTTATTAACTTTATTTATTTTGTTTACTTCTTTCACCAGCAGGGGGACTGCTTGTCAGTTCAGGTAGTCCCCCTGCTGGCAGCACTGTGGACTAATTTGCAGAGGAGGGACTGTCTGGGCTGTCAGACAGTCCCCCAAGTGGAGCAGAAGACTGATTGTCGGCGGGGGAACGGCAGCGATCGAATAAGTACATGAGAGAGGGAGAGAGAGGGAGGGAAAGGGTTATTTTATCTTTAGTATTTTTATAATTTATTTATTTCTTTACTGAGTGCCTCAACCCCTCGATTCACTTGGCACAGGCATAGCATCGGAAGATTGCCTGATGGCTTCCGATGCTCTGCACTACACTCCCGGGCATCACGTGGGGCGTCCGGGGGACTGATCACCCAGTGTTCTCCGGCAGCCTGGCAGTGAGAGGGGGTATTGCATTATGCCTTGACATCAAGGCTTCGCCGCAATACCATTAGAGCGGCTGGAAGCGAACATGATAGCTTCCAACCCTCTAATTCCCCACGGACGTATCAGGCCACCTAACCCAACGCTATCCAACATAACATCATTATGAAAATGTGAGAAGTGTCAGCATTTTTTTCCCTTTTAAACATACATACTATAGTCCTTTACTGGCTAAATACTGAGTTTGGGTAAAATTATGTATTTTTAGGAATTATATTATAAGTGCATGGGTGAGAACATTTTTTTCTAGAATCGGAAAAAAAATATTCCATGATGTTTAAATGAATTCATAACTACAAAACAGAGTTTAGCTTTCATATAATTTGCAAATTTTTCACAGAGTGTTTTTTTAAGAAAACAAATATATAGTTTTTATTTGCTAAATAAGCAAAGCACATAGGTGAAAATTAATAAAGATGTAATGTGATAAAGTCAAAAACAGACTCTCACAGCATAACTTACTGTACAGGAACTTCTCTGCCTTTTACTGTACAGGAGGGCTGTCTCTATGGTGTTGCTATGGATACTTCACCCCAGCTGGATTTACTAAGATGAGGGGTATCAAATACACCATGCCCCCCATGTGAGGAAATGCCTCCTTGACAGACAGAGCTGCCCCAGTCTCCTCCCTGATAGAACAGGCAGCCTCCATGCTGTCTGTGCTGCAGTTGCCTCTAGCCTCCTCCTCCCTCCCACTCTTTGAAGCTGGCTGATATCACAAGGGCCTCGGCAGGCTATTAAAGGGCCGTGACACATGACCAGGCCCCTGTTTAATGATAGACAAATAATACCCCTCACGTGGCCGCAAATTATATGTATAATGTCCGAAAAATCACACACAATCTGATATACATTGTGTGATTTCTGGGATATTGTATATAGTATGGAGGTGTCAGGGAACTTCTATGAAAAAGCAGGAGTCATCCGGAACTACCGGGAGACTTGGAATTTGTGTAATATATATATATATATATATATATATATATATATATATAGTATGGTTATGGTAAACCTTTTATATGTCTTACAGATGATTTTTCCAGCAATTGTATTTCTTGGTCTGAAAAATAATGACTGCTGTGGATGCTGTGGCAATGAAAGTTGTGGGAGAAGATTTGCTGTAAGTATTAAATACAATATGGAATAATCTAAAATAATTTCTCTCAATATTGGTTAACATTTATCAGTGTATTGCAGCCCTCAAGGCCTATAATCAAGATAACATATGTTATAGGGACGCTATAGGCTCATTGAAGTGGTCTGGGTTCAGTGTATCTGATCCTTTAACCCTGCAATGTAAAACTTTGCAGTTTTTAGTGTTAAGACTGTCTCTAGTGGCTGTCTACTAAACAGGCACTTGCTGCAGTTTCATGCAGTTTGATTCCATGAAAATGACGCTGGACGCTCTAGGAATTACCTATGGGGAAGTGGGTAGGGCCTAATGCCTGTGTGGAGGAGGGTAAGTGTAAACAGTGTTTTCTTTTCCTAACACTAAAGTTTTTCATTAACATGAGATGTAAAGAGAAAAATAATTACATTTTCAGTAAACTGAAGAAAGTATGGATTATTAGAACAAAAAAATGTCTTCTGACCACCTTCAGCTTAATGCAGCAAGTTGTGTAACACCATTAATATATGTTATTTTTTATTTTTTTATTTTTTTTGCAAATCTGATTTTATTGAGGGAAAAGAATTAGGCTCCCAGGCCTCAACGAAAAGCAGTATTACGTGTTACAACATATGTTATTCTTCAGAACATTACATTGGAAGGTTCCTATAACTTCAAGGCTATTACACCACGATATCAGGTTAAGGCATAGTTAGCATAAATGTTATTTGCACAAATACAGCACAAAAGAGCATTCTCAGTATTTGTTTGCAAGACATTATCTAGTGTGTTTGCGTGGTGCATGTTCCACGTTTGGTGTTCGACCCCCTAGATATAGTCAGACAGATGTTGCTTTCAGTCGTCAGGTTAGTGACTTATATCCCTGAGAGACGTATGAGAGTAGCAAGGAATATAATGTGTTGTAGGGTGAGAAGAAGAAGGTTAAGGAATGACGTGTAAGTATGAGGAGAGCCTTCCCTGGTGTCCGCACTTTCCTGCCCAACCGAAACGGGCCGTGAGCGTGCGTGTGATGGTCGAGATTTCGTTTGGTCCTGTCATAGTGGCTTACGGTAGCACGTTGGTCATGCAGTGTGAACCTAGGCTGTGTTATTGTCTCAGTGGGATCGTCTGGAGTCCGGCCCTATATTGTGTGTTGGGTCCTTCCCTTCGGGCTCCATCTTCCAGTTTGCACATCCGTATGATGTGTCCTGTAGACTGTAGTTTAGTCTATCGTGTGCGTTGATTGGGCGTGTGTGTGTCGGGAGGGGTTTCGTGATGCCACATTGTCGGTTGTCCAGTGTGTGCGAGCATAAGTTCGGGTCGGTAAGGGGTCATATGTTACCACGGGCCATAATTCCTCCCAAGATGGAGTATCCTATATAGGGGGGTAAGCACGTCCAATAAAAGTGTAGAATCCTGGTTTGTCTGTCCCGCCCCCCCGCTCCCAATGCGCCCCGCATGGGCCCTTTATCTATCTGCCTGATATGAGAACCAGGGTTGCCATGTCTCCGCGTGCCTTGTCGAACGCCCCGCCAGGGATGCCTGCACTGCCTCTGCCGCTTGTATGTCTTTGACCCTATGGAGCCATTCTTCTGTCGTGGGAACAGTTGCTGTCTTCCAGTATACTGGAATTAGGGATTTGGCAGCATTCAATAGATGGCGTAGAATTGATTTCTTATATCTGGGAATAGGTTGTGAAGTAATATGTAGTAGGGCCAATTCTCGGGACCATTCTGTGTCATCCCCCAGGATCTCCTTTATTTCGGAGTGGATATGATCCCAGTATTGTGCGATGGCATGGCATTCCCACCATAAGTGTACTATGGTACCTCTCGCCATTAATATATGTTAGACCTTAATATTAAACGGACACTATACTCAACAAAACAACTGTTTGGGTGTGTACATCAGGTCCATGCAGTCTGACTGCTCAATTCTCTACCATCTAGGAGTTAAATTACTTTTGTTTCTGTTTATGCAACCCCAACCATGCCTCCCCTGGGTGTGGCTCACACAGCCTGTATGAAAACAATATGGTTTCATTTTCAATCAGAGTAACTTACTTTAAAAGTTTGTACCTTCTGCTCTGTAAATTGGGCTTTAATTGCTTACAGGAGTCTCCTGTGGGGTCTAGCAAGCTATTAACAGAACAGGAGATAAGAAATTCTAAATTTAAACAGAATTTTCAATAAAGGAAGTGTAAACATTAGATGACTCTTTTCAGGAAGTGTTTAGGGAGGCTGTGTAAGTCACATAAAGGGAGGTCTGTGCAGGGCTGCATAAACAAAATTACTTAGCTCCTAAATGGCAGAAAATTGAACAGTGAGACTGCATGGGGCATGATTTATACACCAAAACAACTTAATTAAGCTAAAGTTGTTTTGGTAAATATAGTGTCCCTTTAATATTCAGGATTCTTATCCACAAAGACTCATTTCCCTAAAATTCGTTGTTCAAAGGTAATTTATGATTCACCAATAAATATCACAACAGGTTACCAATAATTGTAATTTTATTGTGACATGAAATTAATGCTCATGCGTGATATCAATGCAATGCAAACATAATGGAAAATGGCAATACAGCAAACTAATTAATAATTGTGATAGAACACCCTATTTCTCTTGCCTCAGTCATACCTTAAGTAACTAAACCTCAACAAGATATTAATACTTGTATGTCTGTAAGGTAAACAACAGGTGTTATAAAATTTTGTTATGGAAATCATCATTATAATTGTGGCAAAGGTTTGCCTGATCTACCACATATTTTATTTGGCTGCAAAACAAACAAACTAAATAGTATCAAAAATTTAACTCTAAAGTATTACAGTTTACTTAAAGGGACACTACAGTCACCAAAACAACTTTAGCTTAATGAAACAGTTTTGGTGTATAGATCATGCCCCTGCAGTCTCACTGCTCAATTCTCTGCCACTTAGGAGTTAAATCACTTTGTTTATGAACCCGTCACACCTCCCTGCATGTGACTTGCCCAGCCTTTATAAACACTTCCTGTAAAGAGACATCTAATGTTTATCCTTCTGTTACTGCAAGTTCTGTTTAATTTAGATTTTCCTATCACCTGCTATGTTAATAGCTTGCTGGACCCTGCAAAAGCCTCCTGTATGTGATTAAAGTTCAATCTACAGACCAAGAGAACATCTTACTGAAAGTGAAACCAGTTTTTTTTTTTAATGCAGGCTGTGTTAATCAGAGCCAGGGGAGGTGTGGCAAGGGCTGCATAAACAGAAACAAAGTGATTTAACTCTTAAATGGCAGTGAATTAAGCAGTGAAACCTGAGAAGCATGATCTATACATTAAGAGTGCTTCATTAAGCTAAAGTTGTTAGATTGTAAATATATATATATATACATACATGGACCGTTGCTGAAATTTAACCTTCCACAGAACCAGATAGTTACCCCTGAGATGATAAGAAATTAACTTTTAGAATTTTAGAACTGTTTGAAGATAGAATGGCAGTGTTCCTCCAATCAGGGTGTGCTAATTTAAAAATATCCTTATCAAATTAATAACCAATGATTTTCACAAGGGTGTGAATATTAAACTGAATAAATTTATATTTTATATAAGATTAATGTAATTTTACTGTTAATTCATTAGACACCAGAGGGCAATCATGGTTAACTTTTAATTTGAACTGGCTGACACCTCTCAAAAGTTAGTTTCATAAAACTATTAACAATTACCTGTTATTATTGCTTATCATTAGCCTTGAAAAGTATAACTATTGGCCAAGCAATACCTTTCCCATGTATTAGAAAAATAATACAAGCTAAAAAAAATAAAAAAATATCCTCTCTCTCTTTTTTATATGAGGCATATAGTAATCGATACAGAAACATGACAGTAGGAGTTATATCGTGACAATGCAAGAGTACAATTGTTACACAGGTTAATATACACTCCTGAGTAATTAAACCACTTTTTTCTTTTAAGGGTTAAACATGCTAGGCTAGTACATGCTATATACGTAACTGTTAATATGCAAAAATATATAAACTAGGCAATTACATCTGAAAGCATGTTGTAGGCCATGCTAAAATGGATATAATAAGTGCAGCGTTAGCTCAGGGCATTTAAGGCCATGACAAAGTAATGCAGATGAGGCATTAGCCCAAAATATAGTTACTGCCTAGAACCCAAATAAGTTGAAATAACACATTATATGTAAATAATAGAGATACAGAGTTATAATAATCACCTTAACCCACACAACACCCTATCAGCTCACTGCATTGCAGAAACACAGATAAAATATACAACAGCTGTGGGCATCAGCAGGACTGGAACAGCTGGTTGTGGCAGGAATGGGTCCAATTGTAGAGGGGGAGAGTCCGCTTGGGAGCAGGTAGGTCGCCTGCAGAACTTATTCCTCCAATTCCAAAGGTGGGAAATCATGGCAATGTTGCAGGGTGGATGCTAATATTAACAAGCTAATATTTTGATTCATTTATCACACAGCTGTGGCTTTTAAGACTGGGCCATTGTATTAAGGCTTGTGCAAAGCGTGAAGAAAAGAAATCCAGTTACAGGAACATGCGAGGATTAGTAAAAAAAAGAAAATGCTAACATATGTGTTAAGTATTACTATCATTTTAATAGATCAATACAAATAATATCTGCTATGATTTTATATATAACAGATTGCTACCCTTAACCCTCATGCCCAAAAGATTTAAAAGAACACTGTAGCATTAGGAACACATATGTCTACAGTCTTGATATGCTTACTTTGTTTCAGTGCCCCCCCAGTGTCAGAAATAAAGAGGAAATGAAACAAAATTAAATAAATAAAAATAAATCACTCATCTTCTCTCCAAGCTGCCATGACCTCTTCCTTGTCTGATGTCATCCTAGAGGCAGGGTCGGTGCAAGGATTTTTGCCGCCCTAGGCAAAAGAAAATGTTGCCGCCCACCCACCCCCATGTGACATCACAATGCCCTACCCATATGATCTGCCAGATGAACTAACACCAGTGCTGCACACAGTGTGTGTTTAAATTAAAAAGCCTGCAGGGACCGGCTATAGACACCAGAACCACTTAATTATGCTGAAGTGGTTCTGGGGACTATAGTGTCCCTTTAATGTGAGGTAAATTAGAGATTAGTGTCACTAATAATATACTAGATTGCCTACTTACAACCAGATGAGCAGGGTGATGGGCTCTGGCTGCAGTTTGGTTCCACTGGTTTGGTGTAGAGCAGGATCTCTGGAGGCTGTTTGTAACTGTGGTCACAAAATTCAATGTTGTGGGAGAACAGGAAGCTTCTTAATTTTTGGGGGCCCCTTACACAGCTCAAGGTCTGAGCCCCAGGGCCTGATGGTGAGTATGCCCAAGAGGCCCAGTCATAAGTACACCCATATGTTCCACCCATGAGTTCGCTCACAGGGAGTGGAGTGTATAGGGGATGTGTTATGTGTTATTGTAGAGGATCTAATGTGTGTGCTTATGGAATGTAGTGTATAGGGATACCAGCTTGTGTAGGTGATGCAGTGTGTTTGTGTGTAGTGGAAGCAGTGTGTGTTTGTGTAGTGGAAGCAGTGTGTGTAGAGATGTATTGTGTGTTTCTGGTTGTGTGTAAGGGATGCATTGTGTGAATCTGTGTTTGTATGCATAAGGGATGCAAGGTGTGTGTCTGTAAGTGTGTGCATTGACTGTGTGTGTAAGAAATGCATTGTGTTTCTGTGTGTATGTAAGAGAAGCAGTGTGTGTTTGCATGTGTATGTAAGGGATGCATTGTGTGTTTCTGTGTATGTGTGCAAAGGATGCATTGTCTTTGTGTGTAAGGGTTAAATTGTGTGTGTGTGTGTGTGTGTGTGTGTGTGTGTAATGGATGCATTGTGTGTTTCTCTGTGTGTAAGGGAAGCATGTTGTGTTTCTGTGTGTGTAGGGATGCATTGTGTGTTTCTGTGTATGTATAGGGATGCATTGTGTGTGTGTGTGCGTAGTGTGAAAGAGCTCCCTGTCCTGCCCCCTGTCCTATAGAGCTCTCCCTTCTGTCCCTTAAGCTCCCCCTGCCCCTTAGTGGTCTCTCCTCACCCCCACCCTCCCCTAGCGGTCTCTTCTCACACCCAGCCACCCTCCCTGTGTCTCCTCACCTCCCCTTCTCCTCACCCCCTCTCCCGTGTTCTTCTCACCCCCCATCCTACCTGTGTTCTTCTCACTCCCCCCATGTTCTTCTCACCTCCCCCCTCCCTGTGTCTTCCTCACCTTCCCTTCTCCTCACCCCCTCTCCCTGTGTTCTTCTCACTCCCCCCCTGTGTTCTCCTCATCTCACCTTCTCCTCACCCCCTCCCTGTGTACTTCTTACTCCCCCATCCTCCTCCTGCCTTCTTCTTACTCCCCTGTTTTCTTCTTACTCCCTCCTTCTACTTACTCCCCTCTTCTTTTTTATTCCCCCTCTTCTTCTTACTCCCCCTTTTCTTCTTACTCCCCCATCCCCTCTTCTTCTTACTCCCCTCTCCCCCCTTCTTCTTACTCCACCTTCTGCCCCAGTTCTTCTTACCACCTCCCCCGTGTTCTCCTCACCTCCCCTTCCCTGTAGCGTGGCCGAGCTCCTCTCTGGTCCGCGGTACAGGAGTTTCTGTTTCCTGTACCCGGCCGGACTGACAATAAGTGTACACAGAGCTGCAGCATTTAAAGGGCCGGCGATGGGGGCGTAGGGCACCCCCTCCTATTTGGCGTCCTAGGCGGCTGCCTAGTTCGCCTTATAGGAAGCGCCGGCCCTGCCTAGAGGAGCATTGAGGACTATAGGTGGCCATGCCTATGATTCTGCCATAGTGAATCATGGAATACAATGATTCTCTATTGCACACTGTGATGTTGTGTGTTTCTCTGTGTGTAAGGGAAGCATGTTGTGTTTCTGTGTGTGTAGGGATGCATTGTGTGTTTCTGTGTATGTATAGGGATGCATTGTGTGTGTGTGGGCGTAGTGTGAAAGAGCTCTCTGTCCTGCCTGCTGTCCTATAGAGCTCTCCCTTCTGTCCCTTAGAGCTCTCCCCTGCCCCTTAGTGGTCTCTCCTCACCAACCACCCTCCCCTTGCGGTATCTTCTCACACCAAGCCACCCTCCCTGTGTTCTTCTCACAATCACCTTCCCTCCCTGTGTTCTTCTCACCTCCCACCCTCCCTGTGTTCTTCTCACCCCCCACCCTCCCTGTGTTCTCCTCACCTCCCCTTCTCCTCCCCTTTTCCTCATCCCCTCTCCCGTGTTCCTCTCACTTGTTCATGTCACTCCCCCCTTACCTGTGTTCTTCTACCCTCCCCCTCCCTGTGTCTTCCTCACCTCCCCCCTCCCTGATTCTCACTTTAATGAATAACTATGATGGTCTCATGGGAATCATATACTCGGGAAGAGTGCAGTAGCCCATGGGGGTCTATGTCATCCCACATTATTTAACAAACCCTATTGGATGAGTATTTTCTAGCGACAATGCCCAATTTAGTACAGGGCAGACTTTAGTTAGTAACCCCATTAGACCCAACTCAAAGATGTTTCCGCATACATGTTACCTAGCACGTATTCTATATTGATCTTATGTGACAAGTTTTGACTACAGTGATCAATTGGCAGGGACTACATATAAATGTGATCTGATTTTTTTTTTTTAAACCCTGAGGGTCAACTTTTATTTTTTGTAACCCTCAGGGGTTAATTTTATTTTATTAATTAATTTAAATATATTAAAATGATATATTTAGCTAGCTGGGGTGGGTGCAAGTTAGTGGGGAATTGGGGAATTTGGTGTTAGGCTAGCTAGAGGTTAACGTTAAAATAAATTTTTTAAAAAGTTTTAAAAAATTCAAAAAGGTTTTTTTAATAAAAAGTTTAAAAAAATCCAACCCTCCTTTACCCAGTCCTAATAAAAATGAACCCCTTCCCTGCCTGTTGATCACTACCTACCGTGATCAAAATACAGATCACAGTATTATACTGTGATCCGATTTGTTTTTTAACCCCTTAGGTTTAACTTTTTTTTTTAACCCTCAGGGGTTCAATTTATTTAATTCATTAATTTAAATATTTTAAAATGATATGTTCTGCTAGCTGGGATGGGTGGGAGTTATGGGAAATTGGGGAATTTACGGTTAGTGCTGCTTACTGCTAGTTAGGGGTTAACGGTAAAAATAAAAGCTTATAAAAATGTTAAATCTGTAAAAAAAAGTTAAAAAAAGGAAAAAAATACATTTAAAAATGCTCATTACCACTACACCTGGAACAAACTAGAGAAAAAATTATCCCAAGCTAAGGTTCAAAATACGCCTTTTGAATTACCACGGGGTGTATTCTTTAATAAATAGTATGTGTTTGTGGGGAGGTTTCAATAACCAACCATCTAAACTACTCCAAAATGGAACACGGACACAGCGTAAAATTTAGAAAAAAACTGAATGGCTGCGTCTCATCATCCACATATACCTGGCAAAGGTACATACGGGGGTATTGCTGTACTTAGACGACATAGCTGAGCAACATATGTAGTATTATACAGTCGTAGCACACAAAAGGTTTGCAAGATATACTACACACTTGGTACAAGCTAGCAGAAAATTTATCCCACGCCAAGGTTCAAAATATGCCTTTTGAAATACCCTGGGATGTCTTCTTTAAGAAATGGAATGGCTTTATGGGATATTTGGATTATATAGCCTGGTAAAATACTCTAAAATGGGACATGGGCACTGTAAAAATTAAAAGTTTGACAAAAACTGGAATGACTGTGTCTCAAATGTGCCCCTTCCATGTCCACATATACCTGGCAAAGGTACATATGGGGGTATTGCTGTACTCAGAAGACATAGCTGAGAAACAAATTAAGTATTATACAGTCGTGGCACACATAAGGTTTGCAAAATATACTGTGCAAACTCACTTTGTGTGTCAAAAAGGCAGAAAAAACGCTTATTACCACTACACTTGGTACAAGCTAGCGGAAAAATGATCCCACGCTAAGGTTTAAAATATGCATTTTGAAATACCCTGGGATGTCTTCTTTAAGAAATTATATGCCTTTATAGTTGGATTATATAGCCTGGGACATGGACACAGCGTAAAAATTTGAAGTTTGACAAAAACTGTGATGACTGTGTCTCCAATGTGCCCCTTACATGTCCACATATACCTGGCAAAGGTACTTATTGGGTATTGCTGTACTCAGAAGACTTAGCTGAGAAACATATGAAGTATTATACAGTCGTAGCACGCATAAGGTTTGCAAAATATACTGTGCAAACTCACTTTGTGCGTCAGAAAAAAAAGGCTGAAAAAATGCTTATTACCACTACACTTGGTAGCGGAAAAATGATGCCATGCTAAAGTTCAAAATATACCTTTTGAAATACTCTGGGATGTCTTCTTTAAGAAATGGTATGCCTTTATGGTGTAGTTGTAATATGTAGCCTGCTCAAGTGCTCCAAAGTGGAACACGGACGCTTTAAAACCCTTCATGAAAATTCACACTTAAAAAACCTGAACTTGTCACGTCTCTTTTACAGCACTGTAACTTCACAAAATAGTGTCTAGGTCATACATTGGGCATATTGTTTTACTCATAAGGTGTAAATGAGTATAACTTGGGAATCTTTATGACAGTGGTACATATTAAGTGTAATAAATACTCAGCAAAAATGCAACATATATGTAAAAATCCCCCCCCTCACCACAAACACAGACATAAATTGGTGAAAACATGGTGACAAGTTAAGGTACAATATACACCATATAAGATACCCTGTGGTGTCTGCTTTATCAAATGAAAACCCGTTGTGGGGTTATTTGAACAGTCACCCTGCTATAATACCCTAAAATGAGACATAGACCCGTCAAATCCATCTATGAAAATTCTAACTACAGAAACTGAAATAGCCTTGTCTCCTATATGGCACTGTAGCTTTACAGAAAAAGGCATACAATGGGGGTATCGTTATACTCAGCAGATGTAGCTGAACACAATATGGGGTTCTGTGCAGGAATAGCACACACCAGCTTTACGAAATACACATTACAAAAACCTTGTTATATGTGTATATGCGAAAATAAAGAAAAAACACAATTTTACTCCAATATTTAGCAGAGATTGGCTACTTAAAAAGTGTCAAACTAACCTTAGGTAAATAGCCTTTGATGTCTACTTTATAAAAATATATACTTTTGTGTGGCAATTTTGTTTTATGTGATGGCTACTAAACCTACAAGACAAACATACCAAATTCTAAAATTGTTGCAAATTGAAATTTTATTTTAGTCCTTGTATTTTGTGACCTGTAGCTTTCAAAATAAGCTGAAATCCTATACCTATGATGTACTTTATAAATCATGACACATAAATGAATTTATTTTTAATTACTTTTTCTAAGCTGGACATATTATGTACACGCTATTATTGCCAAAACTGTGAATGTTTTTTATTTTTTTTCTCCAATTTTTTGGAATATAATTAATGAGAATGTATCCATATATATGTGACATCAAATTAAAGCCCTGTTTTCCCTCTAAAAAAACGATGTATAATATGTGTTGGTGCAATAAATGACAGAGATGCAAATTGCGTTTGAATACAAACAGCAAAAAAATGCAAAAATGGCTTTTGTCATTAAGCGTAAAACAAGCTTCTGAAGCTGTGTCCTTACGGGGTTAATATAATCTAATGTATTTATGTTTTCTTTTCAGATGTTTTCATCTATTCTGTTTGCTGCCATTGGATTTGCAGGAGCTGGTTACTGCTTTGTTATTTCAGCAGTTGCTATTCATAAGGGACCTAAGTGCCACACATTTCTGGGATGGGTTTATATATTTCAGGATGGGTAAGTGGCTGTTATTTTTATAGGGGTTAAGGCAATTCCTTTTAAATTAATCTCCCTCTGTAAGGTGCGATTGGGCCTATATTGCCTCACACTCCAATCGTGCAAAGAAATAACCATATAAGGGTAATATCAGGATGTAGAGAAACTATTTATAATATTTCTGACTTAATCCCACATGTTTGACTGGCCAGACAATCATTTACATAATTTCCCAGAATGCATAGAAGTAGAGCAATATGTGGCAATAATGAAGACATCTAAATATACAGCCATGTAGAGTCAAGCTATTACACCGATTTTATTTTTCCAAAAGATCTTACCTGGAGAACCACAACCTATGGAATGTATGCCAACCTAGTCCTATCGTCCCATGGCACCTGACTCTCTTCTGCTTGCTCCTGATAATGAGTGGAGTTCAAGCTGTGCTCTGTGCTATCCAGGCCATTAATGGGCTCATCGGAACAATCTGTGGAGACTGCAAGTGCTGTGGATGTTGTGTGGTAAGTTACAATGGTAGTAAAGGATCTAAACACTAGCCACTGAACATCAGTTAATGCATAATAAAGCATCCTTTTTACAATGAAAATATAAACTTCACTACTGACTTCCCTTCAAAGCAGACTCCAAGCACCAAAGTTGCGTATTACTGTATCACAGTTATTTATAACTTCACACTTGTTTATAATGTATGCATTTGTAAAATAATCTGCATGTATTAGACAGCCACCTCAATGACTGTTGTCACAGGGTAAAAATTATGGCGAGAACATACCTTGTTTATTAAAGTACCGATCGATGCTATTTGAATATATTATCTTTAAATTCATTAAAATTTAATTAGAGATTTTTTTTACCACCCAGTCTCCTTATCTTTTTGAGCACTAGGGTGGATCCACAGTCCCCTGGTGTCCAGTGTGGGCTGCTGTTTTGGTCCTTTAAGGGAGCTCTGATCGAAATGAGCACTCCCTGTATAGCTCCCTGTACCACACTTGTTTATAACTGTAACCATTAGTTAAATAATTTGCATGTATTAGACAGCCACCTCAACGACTGATGTCACTGAGAAAAACTACAATGAGAACATAACTTGTTTATTAAAGTACTTATCTATGTTGTTGGAATGCATTAATTTTACATTCATTTAAATAGGTGTCAGTTCTATGATGGAATTTTCCCTTATAATATTGAAATATGTTATTAGGATCTAAAATGTATATGTCCATATTATTAGTACATTCAATAACTGCTCATTTATGCATACAGGGTAATGGAGCTGTTTAACCCTGGCCTGAGAAGAAATAAGATCCTACGAGAATCGATTGTTCATGTCTGGAATAGAGTACTTTTAGCAACCATGAAATGAATTTGAGGAGAAAGCTCAAAGATGAAGATCATTTCCTACTAATTTCTGAGAAGACCTTTTATAAAGCACCACAAATACAATTAAATCTTCCAATCTTGAGTTGATTAAACACAATTGTAAACATTTTATTAATACAGACAGACTCTATAACTATAACATCTTAAAATATAATATTTAAACAATGCTGCATTGAGAATGGAACAGTATATTTTTTTTATGTTTTTTTTTTAAGTCATTGGAAAAATTATGGTTGTTTATAGACTAAATGACAAGCGTTGTGCGATACCAGTTTGCAGAATGTAGAACAAAATAAACTAGCTGAAAAACATCTAAAATTTCACAATTCTAAATTGGTTTAAAAGTCAGAAATGGTTACGAAGAGATTTCATAGCTACACCTGAAGTCTAGCCACACTGTGCATCCTAGTGCTTTATTGCAAAACTTGAAGGGTTTCTGCAGGGTATCAACATTCTTCCAATCTCCATTGCTTGAGTGAACATCCCCAGTTCAATAGTAATAAATAGTAGACTTGAGCATTCGGTTTCATCCATATTTAGATTCAAATAAATTTGAGCCAGTTGGCAAAATTCCATATCTCCAGAGCACCATGCAGACATAGATACAAACAAGCAAACAAGTAGATGATGACTGAAAATGTTCGGATGCTTTAAAAATTATTGATGGGGAAGAAGATCAATGATGGCTAGGGGACATACATTAGATGTGGACTTTATTCACAGATCATGTGAGAAGTACATAAAGAGATAAAAAAAAAATATTTATATATTATATGTTGTATATTTATTAAATATATATAATATATATAAATATAGATTTTTGTTACTGCTTTACCTCTTTTAGCCATTTGATCTGTGATCTAACTTATGTGAAAATATATCAGTGTACTGCAACATATACACATAATATCTATATTATAATGGCCTTTTAAAGGCCCATTTTCTTTTATCTGAATGTTTCCTGAATAATTTTTCATGAACGAAGTTCGGTCAAGTTGAACCACAGCACAGACGAGGGTCGGATATTCCAAAAAAGTTTACATTTCAGGATAAACAAAACCGAAAAATGGCACTGGCCACAAGTATAAAAATTAGCATAATCACATAACAATACAGGAGCATTTGGTCAGAAACTGCGCAACGTCTTCACAGAGTAGGAACTATTTATCAGAGAAACCAGAGTTAGAAGCCCATCTAATCAGGGCATTAATAGACTGGTGTTATCCATCTGGCTTCATCATTAACATATGAAGGAGGACAGTGAAAAAGTGAGTTGTCAAATGCTTTCTTCATGCCTTCTTCATGGAGATTGAACAAGGTAAAATAAAATGAAAAATAGTTCCTTTTGACCTCCTTCAGCCACAAGTGAGAAAATGGACAATCTGCTACTTTTATGTAATCAAAATGAACATTATACAATTTCATTGTGATAAAAAGTAACCATAATAACATTTGTTCATATGATGCTGAAGATGAAGTTTAATTTTATGTGAAAGTGTGCCTATATCAGAGACCTTTTTAATAAAACAAATTTAAAAATGAATTTGTATTCTGATTACATATGTTAAAGTATTTAAATCACACAATCATTACCTGTAGAACGGAAAATACTGTACTATGTGGTACAGCTAAAGTGACCCTTTAAAGCAGAAGCCAGTGACAGCTACCTCCATCCCCATAGAGACAATTTATTCTATCGAGATGGAGGTCACTGCCAAAAGTAGGATGCTGGTATTAGGTTGCTGGTAGTAGTGTGCGGAATATGTCAATAGCGTGTGTTTGCAGGTCATGCTGTTTCACCTTCTCTCCAATGCCCCTTATTCTGGTTTTGTTTTGTATGTCTCTGTCTTCCTTGTCATTGTTTTTTTCTAGGCATTGTAATTTTGCTTCCATTGCAGTGTATGCAGTGTACACATCAGCAAAGGAATTGTGTGCTTCCACCAATTCCTCTGCTTTGTCTTCTAGACGGGTGGTGTGGTCTCCCAATGCTTGGATCTCTTTGTTGATTTTGGTTGACTTATTTTGCAGATCAGTGTACAGTGTTGTTCTAAGGTTGTCCACATCCACTGGATTGAGTGGTCAGTAGCTGGGCTTACAGTGGTGGAGGAGACAGAGGTATCATCCCTACCTCCTGATAATGAGGCTGACGAAGCCGTCCACTCAACATCATCTTGGGCCTTCTTAGTTTGGGACTTGAAGGCTATGATGTACTGGGAAAGTGTGGTCTGAATTTAAAACTGCCAACTAATCACTTTGTTTACATTACACTCAGGAAGCTAAATTCTGTCCCAAACGGTTACATTAATAATGAAGGAAACAACTTCAAATACAAGAAGGTTTCTCCAAGGTACTTTCTCTTCCTCATGAAATGTTAGCATAAAGTAAATCATTGTCAAATTTATCAGGTCTGTCCATGGATTATTAACAAATATTGCCAGCCATTTATGAGTTATTGTTATTAACAAATATTGCCAGCCATTTATGACACAATTAAGTATAACTCTTTTATTCTGAGCATTAAAGTGAAATAATAGGTATCAGAACAACTTTAGCTTAAAGTAACACTGTACTCACTATAACAACTTCATCTAGATTAAGTTGTTATAGCACCTACAGCTGCTTACATCTCCCTAGTTGTCACGACAGTGACCAATGTCACAACAGTGACCCCTTCACACAGCGTGAAACCCACAGAAAGATGGTTACCGGACCTTAGAATGGCCGGACTAGCACCTGAGAATAGTTAAAGGAATAGCCAGAAGTCAAGGGAATACGGAAGACGGCACACGATTATCCAAGCCAAGTAACGGGAAACCAGAAAACAGAATAGTCAGAGAGATAACCAAGGGTCAAATACCAAGAAGGACAAGCAGAGATAATAGCACCAGGGGAATTTAAACAAGAACCACACTAGGGCATCTGACAAGTGTCATTATAGCCCTTTTATAGTGTGGGTTCTTTGGCTTTAATTTTGAAGCCACGCCCCCAAAAAGTCCGGGAGCGTGGCCACGTTTGAATTTTGTCGGCATTTTCTTTCTGACGTCGGCGCGCATGCGCCACGTCATAAAGGTGGGCGTGTTCCGAGCGGCCGGCGTCAGAAGAGCTGAGCCGCCCCCCGGAAGTATTGGAGGAGGACCCGGTGCTGCGCGGGACCGGCGGGCAAAGGTAAGCGCTCGTTACACTAGTGACCCCAAGTCTAAATATTTTACTAATTATAAGGATTTGAAGTATGTCTTAAAGTCACACCTGCAAGCCCTCTGGGTATATGCATGCAGTGTTTCTCTATGTAAAATTGTAGGAACATCTAACGCTTTGGGCTAGGCATGTGTCTCACTCATTCTACAGGAACTATACAGGAGGTAAATCGAGAGGGGTAGCAATCCTGGTTTTATCTAAAATTATCTTTACTACAAAAGACAGTATTACAGACCAGCAAGGTTGATTTTTATTACTTAAAGGAACTATCAATAACATTTTTTTTACTTTCGCAAATATATAAGCTCCCAATAATAACCAAATCTATTTTCTCAGGCGGATATTAGAGAAGCTTGAACCCTTTGTGGAGGGGACTCTGATTGTAGGGTGCGACTGGACCAAACACTAGACACTACCTCCTAATGCAGGGACTACTTCAGTAGCTCCTTTTACACAAATTACTACACTCATACCAACTCATAAACAGCTGGCGCACAGTTCACCCTGCTGGAAAGACTTCTCATACGTCTCTCACACTGTGAATGCTTATTAGTGCATAGATATATTCTATATGTCCCATGGACACTTACATCTACTTGCTGATGCCTCTATAGGATTGATAACATGTTCGGACCATGCAACCATTTTCCTAAATGTCACCCTACAGGAAGCTGCTCAGCCTAATCCCTTATGGTGACTTAATGAATCTCTATTGGATGATAAGCGGGTGTTGGAAGAGGTCACAATGGATCAAGCTATATATTTTATAGAAAATGCCACTCAGAACTCATCAGCTGCCTGGATATGGGAATGCCATAAAGGGGTGATAAGAGGCATATTAATAAAATGGGGCTATAGGATCAAAAAAGAGAGGGCCATCTAAAACTCAACACCTTCTCAATAAAATATGATTGGGCAAAATGGTGCACACAGGGATTGGGAATATATTATGGGGCTACTAATGAAATATTCTATCAGCATGGCCCGTAGGGAGAAATTCTACAAAAGGGTAGCCTTGTGGTATAGAACCCCTTTGTTTCTACACGTGCACTTCCCCAATGTGAGTGACAGATCCTGGAGGTGTATTCAAGAGGAAGGCACTGTTTACCACATAAGGTGGCAGTGCTCGAATATACTCCCCTTTTGGGTCAAAGGTTTGAGTTTCGAACAGAGGGATATCTAATAGTGCCAGATGATCTAGTCACTTCATAAGAATTACCCTCAAAACCCACTTGGAGTTAGCACCTTTTTATCATTTGCGCAGTGGCCAGAGCAAATGTGTTGTTCTTCCTTGTTTTTATGTAATTTGTTAGTTTTATACTACATTCATTGTGATGTTTTACTTTTTTCATTTTGTGCAGACTACTTTTATATTGGATGATTACACTGTGATTTGGATGGAACATATGAGAGACGAGAGCGTCCATGTAGCACAATAAATTTACCATTTGTTAGATAGTAAAAAACGGTACCGGCGAGAGACCAGTCTTTCATCTGTATAACATTAAGACACAATGTGATTACATAGCAATTATGTATGGATATGCCATTCTTGCGGTTATATGTCTTGAAACTATGTAACTTAAATTGGACTATATGATACCAAATGTACAGAATGTATGTAAACAATTTTTTTTTTATTTTTTGTTTATGCTCAATAAAAACAAATTACACAAAATAAATTATACGAACATCATGGCGGTCTATGGAGAGCAATGTATTGGACCTCATCCTGGAAGCGTGCTAGGAGAAGACTTTGGCAGCGCTAGAAAGATGGGGAGTAAATCATTTATTTTCATTTTAATTTGTTTAGTTTTGTTTTTATGCAGACTGAGGGGGCACTAAAACAAAGTAGGGACATGAATACTCTAGCTTTAGGGTCACATATATGTATTCCTAGCTCTACAGTGTTCCTTTATGAAGCAGTTTTGGTGTATCGTTCATGCCCCTGCAGTCTCACTGTTCAATCCTCTGCCATTCAGGAGCTACATCACTTTTGTTACTGTTTATGCAGCAAAAGCCACACCTCACCTCTCTGTGACTGGCACAGCCAGCATGAAAAATGGTTTCAAACAGATATTAACTTGCTTTAGATGATCTTTTCTCCTACTCTGTAAATTGACACTTAATCATACACAAGAGGCACCTGCAGAGTCTAGAAGGCTATTAACAGAGCAAGAGATAAGAAATTCTAAATTAAATAGACTGTGCAATTTAGGCAATTTAAAAATTAGATTTATCTTTACAGGAAATGCTTAGGAAGGTTGTGTAAGTCACACACAGTGAGGTGTATCTAGGGCCGTATAAACAAAGTGATTTAACTTCTAAATTGCATCAAGCTAAAGTTGTTTTGGTGCCTGTAGTGTCATTTTAATTCACATTTGACCTTAATGGAAGCATTTTTTTTTAAATCAAACACACATTTTAGAATATATATAATGCTTATTCATTCAATCAAATGTCGATTGTGTATATTTCACAGAACCTCAAATATATGGTACTTGAAAAACAAAATAAATTATATTGATAAACGTGCATATGTAAATGTATAACCTGTGTGTGCGTATGTATGTGTGCAAAATACTAGGCACTTGATTACATGAAATATCTGAATGAAACATGTAACAATTTAGTAAATGCTAATTTGAAGGACTTCACAGCATAAGCAGCCTGTTAAATCCCATAGCCATTGAGGCTCCTGTGTCTAAAGGTGGATGAACGCTGTGATTGAGGTGAATTCCGGTCTATATATGGGAAAGGAAGTTACCTATTGAGAGGAGCATAGCAGTAACCCCAGGAATGAAAATACGTAGTCCTTTAATAATTACATTATCTAAATTGTGAGAAATGAGCCATCTTTATTTAAACCCTTAAGGACACATGACGGACATATTCTGTCAGGATTCCCTTTTATTTCTGAAACTGTGTCCTTAAGGGGTTAATATACTTACAAAGTAGGCCACGGTAGACAAATTTAAAACATAGCTGTATCCAATAATTTTTCCTTATATTTTAAATGCCACTAAACATTTCACACTATAGTAAAAAAACTATAAAAGTAGAAAAACAGTCCATAAAGTCCGTACTGTCCAATCATTGTCAGGGCCGATCCTAGGGTCACAAACGCCCAATGGGTGTGGTCATCATACTAACCTCCTCCCCTTTGCAAATGTGC